GGAGGATTAGTCATGATATATCAAATTATAATTCCAATGATTGTCACAAAAGTTCGAATTTGGTGGATACAACGAAATGCACAATCTGCAGCTGTAGATGAACAAGAAGAAGGTACAGAATATCTATTTTTTTACAAATAAAAGATGTTTTATTTGATTGTTTGTAGCGATACCAATTCGAACCCGATTGCTTCATTTACGGTCTTTTGTTCATTCTACTCTTGCAGGATTAAATGTTTTTAGTAGTATTATTCCTTCTATCGATCCAAATGAGATTCAAATTGAACGTCTCGCTACTCGTATCTATATTCTTCTCTTTATTCTAATTTCTTTACCTTTATTACTTGTGAATATCTTAAGTATACGATTTGCCACTGAAACAATTACAAATCCAACTGAGTCAGTTTTTGCAGAGCTTCATTTTCATTATGGGAATTATCTTCAATGTCCATGTACAAAGTCTACTATATTTTATGGTGAAATCAGTAACAATATCTACAGAATGCATACAATATGCAATGATAGCCATTTTATTAATCGAGATTGGCTAGTTGAATTTCCACTTGAAATCAAACGCCAATTGACAGTGTTAGCCAATATTTGTCAACGATCACGAACAACAGTCGATTTAGCTGATCTAATATTTGCATCGTTAATATTGCAAACAGATTATGTCTTATCACGTGAAATTCTCGATGCACGACTACGTGCAGTTTATCATCAATTACAAGCACAAACAAAAACAGAAATTTTGACACCATTTCAATTAAATCGAATCTTAATACATACTGATAAATTATTGAGAAACTCGGATACTCAAATCTATCATCCATCTGGTGAAATTGAAACAATTTTTAATTCGTATGATAATGAAACATGTAATTGTGTTTTAACATCGACATGTCTTAGTGAAATTGTTTCATCGTTCTATACTGGATGTTATCCTATTGATGCATTGTTACAATCAACTTTAGAATGCTTTTTTAATGTTGATTGTGTAACTCTATTGGAGTCATTTCGATTAGAACAAATGTATAATATAACAATTTTGGATTCGAATGACACTCGATTTTCGTTAAATACAACTATTGAATCGATATTTAATGGATTAATGTTAGAAGAATGGTATATCAAAATAAATTACACAGAATATTATCTCACGTGTAATCCCACACATTGTACTTATTCATATCCAAAAAAAGGCAATTTCATTTCGGTTGTTATTCTATTACTTGGTCTTCTTAGTGGTTTGAATGTTATACTAAAACTTCTTGTACCGATTTTTGTTAAAATTATTCGAAATTGTTTTATACATCGACGAATTGATTTCGATATCCCAGCGATGATTTCATCATGGAACACATTTCCTACTTATATATCACGTCGAGGTGATATTTATCAATTAAATACAGAAAAACTTGCAACACGAATTTATGCATTGGTCTTTGTTTCATGTTTTGTCATCATGGCTGCATATAAAACAGCAACCGCATCTATAAAAAATGAGATGGTTTATAATCCAACACAAACCACATTTGAGAACTTACAAAAATTCTATGGAATAACGATGGAATGTCCATGTAGAGAAGTCAATATCAATTGTAAGTAGTGAAATATCGATTCAATAATAATTATTCGATTTTTTTCGATAGACGGATCGTTTGTTTCCATTTCACCTGTTTTTCATCAAGTTTGTTCGAGTTATTGGATTTCTTCTTCATGGTTCTTATTTCTTTTTGAATCTTCGAATTCAACTAATAATCATCTTTTCATTTTATCACAATTTCAATTTCTTTCCTATGTTTGTCAAATAAGTCATTCATTCACTTTCAATTCAATGTTTGCATTTACTAATCATTCATTTATTTCGCCAAAACTTATTCAAGAATCGACATTAAACTTGCAAATCTTTTCTTTGATGTCAAATTTCTTATTGATGACATCGAAATCAATTAGTGAAACTATTGAATTTATTCAAGGACTCACGCATGGTACAGGAATTCTATCATCATTGCATACAAATTGGAAATTAACTCTCAGTGAAGAAGACAATATAACCTTGTTCACCGATCCGATTTCTTATGAAAATTGTTCCTGTGATATTTATAGTTCATGTACAAAAATATCAATGATTTCTGGTTTACGTATCGGATGTTATCCTTCATCAGCGATGATGCAATCAACACTCGAATGTTTTTATAATGAAACATGTATTTCCATGTTTTTCGGAGTAAAAATGTGGCCATCATTAATTATCAATAATTCATCTCGTTTCTCACCCAATCGCACAGTGAAATTTATTGTTGACCAACTGATGATTGAAAAATGGATAAATACCACTAATTATACACTTTATTATGAAAAATGTGCTCCGACTTCGTGTAGTTATTCATACTCTGAACAATTTAGTTTTATCTATATGATAACTATGTTAACTAGTCTTTATGGAGGTCTTACAATGGTTTTACGTTTCATTGTTTATTATTCGATCACATATATTCGTAATTCCTATCGACGTCGAACAAGAGTGGATGTAAATATATACATGTAAATGGAATAATGGAAGATGATAACAGGAGTAGCTGTCTAATTCGTCTTATAATATAAATGGAAAAAACTTAACTATCTATGTTTATAAATGAATTCTAAACTTTGTACAAGGAAAAAGAAAAAGGTTTTTTTATAAATCTATATATATAAAGAAGAAAGTTTGTCTGTTTGTTTGTTCGCTATGCATTCAGTCCCTGTAGTAGCTATCGGCGTGAAACTTTCCACAATGCTTCCTGAGACCCAGAGGAAGGTCGACATCTACTTTGTTCCGAGAACAAAGGAACCAGCCGTTTGCTACAGGCAATCTATGAAACTGACCAATAGGATTGCAGGATTTCAAAAGTGGGTGAAATCAATAGCGAAGGCCGTCTGAGCGCTCAAAGACATCAATCCACGTGTTCTCTACGCCTATGATAGTTCGGTGAATGCTATAGATAATCTGCGAAACTCACCAATAGCGTTACAGGATCTCAAAAGATTAAGATAAATGATGAGGGCGGGTAAATTCGAAGGATATAAGGCATGAAATGACGTGAGAGTGAGAAAGAGGTCGATGAATGAATAGCTGGCGTGGAAAATGAATATCAGAGAAAGAGGCCATTTTCATGATTTCTGAGGCAGAAATTAGCTTCGGTAACTCTTTTGCATAAAGAGATATGACCGAAACTGCCATTTTATGCGATGCACGGTGGGAAAAATAAGGACTGGAAGCGTAGAAATTTTAGTTGTATTGATTTTCTATCGGTTATAACTCTTCAACACGTGAGATATTCGACATAGATATTTCTTATTTGCAGCGGGTACTCCCTCTAGTACGTTCATAATTATCACTTTCATTTCTCTTTGCTGGAAATCCAAAGAATTTCCAGCAATTCGATTTGCAGTTGGAAATATTATTACCAATAATTTGATAATTAGATTTATCATTCTGTAAACGAAACTTTATTTTCTCCACTGTGTAATTATCGGTTGATTGCGACGATGAAGATATGAGAGGACTAGTGATTGAAGATGACATTGAGTAAACGACAAAACAAATAATGTTTTACTATGATTTTTGCACAACACAATATCCAGATTTCCTTTTTATTTCGTTTCTATTGTACATATATATACTTGTTTGTATAATCATGTTTGGAATATATTTTATATACCAATAAAGAAAAAGAATAAAAAAGGTGAATTCATAATTTACTAAGTGCGACATCTTTACATTTTATTATTTTCCATAAATAAACATTTTCTAAATACCATGGGACTTGGAATTCATCCCATCCCATCCCATTAGGACCCCTGCTGTGATCAGTTTCATGTATTCTCTGAGCAAAGAAGAATATTTAAAAAATTTGAAAAGTGGATTGCAAGAATGCAGTTGTGTATAGATAGCCAAGATGATTGTTTCGAATATTTTGATGAAACAAACAATTGATAAATTCATTCTTGTATTCCTTTGTTCTATCCTCACTACCTATTGTCTATTGTGAAATAAAGGGATAGTTAGTTCTGACGAGAGATGAAGAAAAAAAAACAACACGTATAGATGGCTTTGTATACTCTTGCTACCAGATAGAGTTCGAGAAAAAACGTTTTTGTGGAAATTGTATTACTTTGACCTCATTTGAATATTGATCAAATAGCATCGAAAGGTGAAGTAAAAGACGCTCTGTCGATTGGTAAAAAACAAATTTTTTTAAATTGGCTTATGAGAGAAAACAGATCATCCACCACTACTTCTCGATAACCGTAAGTATTTACAGTCATGCGTATGTGGACAACAAAAAGGTAAAGTACATAAATTTGCGTACCCACTAACGATCGATGTGACATAAATGTACAGCAGCCATTCGCAATGTGCCCAGCTAAAAACATTATTACTGATCGAAAAAGTTTCTTTTCTGTTCTCTCATTTGGTATATAGTATTCGTTTCATAAATAACAGTGCGCAATAATACAATAGAAACAAACTCCAGTCATGCGATAGATCAGCCATCGCTCTATCTATATTTATAATGAGAAGAAAAATTACAGTAATATAGGATGCACCAAGCTATTTGACTAACTTTATTCAATACGTAGATAGGTGACAATACAAAGTGTTACAATTATGAAGAGAAAATTCTTGTAAAACATTCTATCTAGAATACGAACTCTAGATTCATAGTGCATAGTGTGAGAAT